ACACCCACCCCTCGCTGTACTCCAGAGGCCCCCCAGCACAGATGGGCCCGCCAGTGGACGGACTCTTCAGGGAGGGAGGACCCGACAATACTGCCACCTGTCTGGCCTTGGCACATCTTCGAGGCAACCTTATTCTTCCCATCCAAGGACAGAACAGAGGGAGAAGCAGAAAGCAAGGCGTCTGTGCCGGTCCCTGGGGACACAGGCGGGGTCCTGGCATCTGAAGCTTCGTAGGTTGTCTGCAGATCCCCCCTACGGCAGCGTCCTTTCTGAAGAGCGGCGATGGGCTCTGCCCCATCACCTCACGGCTTTGCCGGGGGCACGAGGACCCTCCTGAGGCAGCCATGGCCAGGGGAGGGCAGAGAACTCCAGCACTCTCACTCGGCTCTGAGCAACAAGAAGTAGGTGGCCTCTGACCAGGAGCTCAGCCATCTGGGCAGGCAGGAGGGGCTCCTTCTGTCCGCCACCTCCCAGGCCTGCCTGGAGGTCCAGTGGAAAGCATGAGGGCAAAGGCTCAGCAGCCTGCAAGGTCCTGTCTTGCCTCTGTTTACAGTAGCCAGTTGCCCACCAACGACGGGAATGAGAAGCCAGAAGTCCACACGCTGAGTGAGACTCAGAAGCTGGTTCTCCCTGGGGCAGACTGGCCAAGCTGTCTGTGTGCAGGGAAGGAGGCCATAAGGAGATCCAAGGCTGTGGTCCCCCCAAAATGACAGGCAGTCACTTAAGCGCAAGCATGGGTTCTCTAGTCAGGGTGCCCAAAGCACTTCAGTCACTGTGTGTGAAGGCAGTCAGCTCCCCCCCCGCCCCGACAGGGCCAAGGGGGCGCCTGCCTGCAGAGAACAGGAAAGTGAAAATGACCTGGTCAGGTTTTCACTATCACCACAAGATAGCAATTCGAAACAATACCTGTGATAAAATGCTTCTCCGGCAGGGACAGACAGCTCCCCTCACCCAATCCTGGAATGCCACCAGAACAGAGGGACCAGCCCCTGAACTTCTGCTGAGATGCCGGCATCCCCCAAAGCTCAGAGTCCAGACACTTTAGTTGCGGGATTTGTTCTCCCCTTGCCCCCAAGACTCATGAAAAACCCCAACACAAACAGAACAACAGGTATAATGTGGTGAAGAGCAAATGCTGTGTTCAAATCCCAACTCACCCACTCAGGAGCCGCATGAGGGGTCTCTGACCTCACTCACGGTGCTAGTGATGTAAGTTACCCAAGGGGCTGTGGCGAGAGCTGGTGGAGTTCATACGGCCAAGTGCTTAGAGTGATGCTGGGCACCAATACTGTATACGGACTTGCTGTTATTAGGCTAGCCTCTCCCACAGGTTATCTGAGCAGAGGGGAGGCACCCACAGCCACACCCAGGAAGGAGAGGAGCCTGACTTACTGGGATCTGCCTGAACCCACTTGCTGGCCGTGTTCCCAGGTAAAAGCCAGAAGCAGAGATGGGTCCCTTCCCTTAAACCAGTAAAAGCCTGGAGACAGAGTACCAAGAAGCCCCAGATTCTGTCAAGTGGTTTTGATGACAGAGAAAAAAAATATGGGAGGGGTGTGCCCAGGTTGCATACTGGACCCCAGAATCCCTTCACATTCCTCTAAGCCTGGCCTGGCCTGCCTGGGCCAGGGACACGGCTGGTCCCTGGCGGGCATACGATGGGCCCAGGGGCACCAGGCCGTGGCCCAGCGACAGTGTATGCAAGGAACAAGCAAAGATGGGGGTGGGAGGACAGCAAGGGACCAAGGCTCTCAAGGCAAACTGTCACCCCTTTCTTTAGCTGCCACTGATCCCTGTCTATGATTTACCATCAAGCTGGCATAAAACTTCCGTAATTCATAGAGACTCATCCCCCCACCCCAAGATTCCAAATGCTTCCCTCCCCTTTGGGGACCCCAATGAGTAATTGCTATAACTTAGCATTACCTTCTATTATGAAAGTCAAGTCTCCATTTTCAAAACAGAATGTTTTCCAACTACACACCCTGCTCCGCAGAAACACTGTACTACTTAGCCATCCCTCAAGAGTCACACGGACAGGACATGCTCGGTCCAAGGCTGAGCAGCATCCGAGGCAAGGGCACCCTGAGCAGGGCTCTTGTGCTGTATCACCTCACTTTCTGGAGCCTGGGCACCAGACGGGACCTGCTTGGGGGAGCGTACAACCTCTATACTGGCACCAACACTTAGCTCTTCCCCTGCAAATCTTTCCCGTAATTCCTCATAGCCCCCCTTAGCTTTCAAAGGGTATCAGCGCTCCTAACACATCTCCTTCCCAAGTGGCTGAAAAATGCCAATTTGCCCCCAAGCTTGCACGACCATAGTGTGTTCCCCCCACAATGCTACAACACAGCAAACTTCTGGTAGTCACCCTAACGAGTCATTTGGTTCTGCAATCAACCCTGCTAGTCTCTCTTCTTGGAATGCTTTTCCCGCCCCCACAGGTCTAACAACCGCCCACTCAGCCACATCGCAGGGAGGGCTGACCTCTAACTTCTCAGTGGCACTGCTGTACCACTTGCTGATATCCCTTTATTTTATCTGCTGTGTATTTAACATTCCATTGCTTCCCAGCAAATCTTTCTCACCTCCCAGTCTGTGATCTTTTACCTATATCCCTGACCCTGGTCTGGAAAAGGAACCTAATGCTTATGATATGACAGAAGCCCCCATGGGTAGGGTAGGCAAGCAGGGAGGGTCCGGGCTATACAAACAAAGCATTTGTCAAGAGTCAAGAGTCAAGACTATAAAAAGACAAGCAGCCCAAAAGAAACCCCATCCTGGAACCACGAAAAAAATACGCCCCTTTCTCCAGTGATCTCACACCTTTAGGAATTGAGGCCTTATGGTGGACAAGTAAGATTCCTTGGGTTTTCCAGGGTTGCTTTAGTTAATCTCCAACAGTCAACTGGGAAGAGCCAGCCTAGGTCAGCCATGAGAATAAGCCACTACTGCTCATGCAGATTCTCTGGGGGGCAGCTCTTAGGGGGGGCAGCTCTTAGGGGTTGCAGAACAAACTGCTTAAGGGGCATCTAAGCTATAGAGAAGGAGACCAGTTCTAGCTCAAACCACCAATCTAAGTTGGAATCCCAGCAAGAGAGCTCTTGGCCCACTACTCAGATGTTCATCAGGGGAGGGAGCAATACTTGTGCTTACCTGACCAGAGCAGACACTGGGCTCCAGGAGAAGGCCAGGCCCCCTGCCCCCCCGAGATACCAGCTGCACTGACTCCCTGAGCCCCCACAGGGCCATGGCCACCCCCACCCCCCAGGGAGTAGCAGGGACTCCAATTCTTGAGGATTCTGCCCTCTGTCTAAGAAAAGGTACTTAGAAAAAGTGGCTAATACCTGAAATGTTTTCTCCAAGACTGGCCTGGCCACCTGGTTCACCTTCCTACTTCAAAGTGGTGGGTCTGAGGGTTAGCCCAGCCTCTTGAGCAGTGTGAGGTCCCTGCTAAAGTCAACCCTCTAGCAGAAGTGGCATTTGGGGTATTTGTCCAGCTTCACAGGAGACAGCTCCTCTCCCTCAATTTCAGCCCACAGGAGGCCAAGCAGAGACCCTACATATATCAGCAACCCTGTTCCCCCTCCCCAACTCTCAGGGGGAGACTGAACCACCAAGTAGAATAAGGATGGGGTTAAGGTCCCCAAAGCCATGGACCTGTGGGTATCAAGGAGGACAAGACCTTCAGAGCCAATACAATGCCACCACGCTGGAGCCCACACCACACTAATGGACAGAAGTCAGGCCTTCCTTTGTCACCCTTCAGAGTGGAGGGTTGTGTATTCCTTCCTTTCTTCCTCCCACCCCCCAAAAGCAGAATCTAGACCTAGATTGTCAGATGTCATGCCATTGATGGACTGGGGTTAGCAGCAGGCCTCTGATTTACTAAGAGTGGGAGCTGGCAGTGTGACCCTCCCACCACCCCTCCCACTTTGAGCCCAGCCCAGCAGCGGGGCCGGGGCCGCTGCCGCCATGCTGCACCAAACCTATAGCACGGTCAGCAGCATTGCCACTGGAATTGAGGGAGGTAGCAACACCAGCCCCCACCAAGGGGCTCTGCGGTTTCTCCCCCAAACCAAGGGGAAGGGAGCACAGAGTGGATAACTGGCCCTTGGTTTCCTGGGCAAGAGCATGCCAGGGTGGGGCAGGAAGGGTCTCTCAGCCCTGGAGTGACACAGCACAGGCCGGAGGCCCTTCGAGGGACCTGCAAACTATGTCCCCTTTCTACACCAGTTTATGTCTCTGCCCACCCAGCTCCTGGTCTCCATTCACTGATAGCCGTATCCACCGCCTCACCGCCCCACCCCCCCCCATTCCCTGCGATTTCACCATCCCATTAATCAACCAGCTGCTGGAGATTCCACGAAGCCGCCTCATAGTCCTGCGTCTTAGCACACGGTCGGTGGGCAAGATAAAGTCGCCTCTACTTGAGGAATCCCACCCAGGCCAGGCTGGGGGTCCTAGCTTGGCTGCCAGGGCAAAACCGAGGGAGGAGAACCGGGAAGTGTCTTTCGACATCTCTTTCCTAACTCAATTAACTGCCGGCTGACCTCCTCCCAAAGCCCAGGTTCTGGGGATGCGAGGGAAGCCCGTCCAACCGCCACAACTCCAGCTCTACTGAACGAAGGTGCCGGGCGGCTGGCCCGGGCCTCCAAGGTCACCGGGAGGGGTCAGGGTGGAGAGGGCAAGGACGGTGCCGCCCGCCCACCCGCCTGCTGATCCCTCGGTTCCTTCCAGCCGAGGCGGGAGTCCCGGCCACGCGGGAGGAGCGCCTGGGAAGAGGGCAGCGAGCCGGGTCGAGAGTGGAGAACGAAGGACGCGCGAGCAGCAGGCGTGGGGCGGCCCGCCCCGAGCCCGGGAGGGCGTGGAGACAATGCCCGCCCGGCGGGGCACTCCAGGCCGTCCGCCTCCGCCCGCCGGACACCGGCTGCTCCTCCGGGGCCGAAGGGCAGCGGCGGAAAGGCTCCGGGAGCGATGGCCACACCGGCCCCGCGCGCCCTCTCTCCCGCCCACCTCCGCGTGCACTTCACCCGACGAGTCCCGGGGCCGCAGACCCACCTCCTCCTCTGGGGTGCCGCCGGAGCCCGAGCCCGTGCCGGTGCTGGTGCTGTGCTCGTCGTCCGGCTTCAGGTTGCTCATGGTGCGGGGGGTGGGGTGGGGGCGGCGAGAGGAAGGGAACGCGGAGGGCGAGGGCGAGCGCGGCGCCGGGCCCCGGCGAGGAGGCGGGAGGGGGCGCGGTGAGCGGTGCGCTCCGGGGGTGCGGGGCGGGGTGGCGGTGGGGGGCGCGGGGCAGTGAGAGGGGTGGCCGCCGCGTCGGTATGGTGTCACATCAAGTTTGGCGGGTGCGGGAGGCGGGGAGGGGTGCGGCGGGGGAGGCACTGGGAACCGGAGCCGAGCCGGAGCGGCCGCCGCCTCCGCCTTTTCACTGCGACCGCCGAGTGCGCCCGCGGCGGCGGCGGCGGCGGCGGCGGCGGGGGGCGGGCGCCGGGGGAGGGGGCGGGCGCCGGGCGGTGGCGGGGGGCGGGGGCCGGAACCGGCCTCAGCTGGGGCCGGGCCAGCCCCCCGCCCTCCTCGCGGTCTCCGGGGGAACGCGCAGCCAATCCCCGCCGCCCACTGCGGACTCGCCCCGGCCCGGGCCGCGGCGCGCTTGCCCCCGGCGGGGCTTTTTCCCGCTGCTGCTGGTCTTTCTGCCTCTCTCGTCTTTCCCCTTTTCCTTTCTCCGCGACAAGTTTTTAAACTTTGATGAACTCGCCCAGCGAACTTTCTTAAAGGGGCCGCGCGCAACGCGCTGCCCCAGCCCGCGGGTGTGGAGCAGGGTGCCGGGTGCCGGGCGCCCCTTCGCCCCTCGGCATCCCCGCGCCGGCGGCCCCACGAGGGGAGCTCCCACCGCGGGGCTCCGGGGTCATCGGCTTCAGGAACTAGTAGGCTCCGCTTGTACCCTGACCTGGGGTTACAGGGTCCGGATAACTCCTTTCACCCGCAAACTCAGCCGCGCAGACCCGGCCCACGCCCTCCTCCCTCCCTCAGGGCTCGGGGCTAGGGGGGCCGGGTTCTGGAGAAGATGGCGGGGCGGGGTGTGGTGCGGACACCTGGGCTTTGGCCCCGGCTGGGCGCTGTTTTGCTGCGTGACCTTGAGGAAATCACTTCCCCTCTCTGGCCTCAGGCTTCCAGCCCAGAGGGCGGGGCTTAGATCTCAGCTGCCTTCCCGCTCCCAGTCGCCGAATGGGACGCGGGGTCGGGAGACGAGTCTTTGGGACCCAAATGGTCACTAGCCCCAGGAGGGGTACCCCGAATGGCCGAGAAGGTTCCCTTCCCCAGCCCCCAGCTTTGGGGTGTCCTCTTCCCTCGGCTTAAATGCCCCCGACACAAACACACCTTCCCCCCACTCCTCTTGGGAACCCGGTGGCAGGGGGAGGGGAGCGCAGCCCCACGGCTTCGGCGGACCGTAGTGACTGCCCTGCGCAGGTCTCCAGGGCGCGGGCCCCGGGTCGGGTTTTCCTCGGGCTTTTGAGAACTCGCTGGGACTGCTGCCACCTTGTAAAACCCCGCGCCCTCCTCGGGTCGCGCTTGAAGCGCAGCAGCCACGAGCTCGACTAAACTGCCCCAGGACGGGACACCTCCCTGGCGCCCCTGCTTCGGAACTCGACTGGCGCCTCGGGGAATACCAGCTAGCGCCTCCGCGGAGAGTTGGGAAGGCCGGCGGGACCCTGGCCGGGATCAGGCGTTGCCAGGTGTGATTTGCCTCCCTGCTCCTAGTTTGTGTTCACTTTCCCGGCCACATCTGGTCGTCGCACCTGGGATTTTAGGTTGGAAGCCGCGGGCAATGTCAGTGGACTGGGAGCAATTGGGTTCGCAGTCACAAAGCAGCTGGGATCCCAGACCTTGAACTGGTGACTCAGCCCTTCGGGAGCCTCAGTGTATCGACCCCCTAAAGAAGGCAAGTACTACCACACAGGGGTATCGAGTGTGAAGTATACAATGTTCCCTAGCCTCCTCAACAAATTATAATCTTCCTAGCCTGGCATTTCAGATAAATAGATTGAGGCCTAGAAATAGGCGTTATCTTTCCCAACGACATACTCTTTCAGTAAATAATCGTTGAGCACCTACTTCGTGCTGGCAGCTAGGCCAGCAGCACCCAGGTTTCCCACCACCCCCATTGCCAGCGCTTGGTTCAGGCTCTAGTATGAAGGAAACTGCCCTTCCATGAGAGGTGCTTCACTTTACCCAAAGTTTTTAGGGACTTCCTGCCTCTGACACCTCCAGATGGAACACATTTGTGAGCCTATAGATACCCTGACCATCCTCCCTAGGCCTCAGTCCATTGGCTTGATCTCCCACTCCTTCCCTAGATCTTCCCACCAGGCATGTCACCAACTTTGGCCCTACAATGTTATTCCTCCCCATTCCTGCTTCAGTTCAACTCCATTTTTTTTTTCCAGGAGGAGGAGCCTGGCCAGTTTTCTAAACTCAGGTATCCTCTACAAGTTAGTTTGAATTTTTCAGAGAAGGGGAGTCTCATCTTGCCCTTCAGGTCTCCATTTTATTGAGAAGGCAGCTGAGACTCAAAGAGACGATGAATGACACAGGGTCTACACTGTATTTTTCCATGACATGAAGCTGATGGTTATTTTTAAATACTATGTATTACTTTTCTGATAATAGCAATACATGCATGTTGTTGAATAGTTGTAAGCTATAAAATAGTTTAGAAAACAATCTGCCATCTAGAGAGCAATATTAATATTTTCTTCTAGTCTTTTTTTTTTTAAGATTTTATTTATTTATTCCCAGACAGAGGAGAAGGGAGGGAGAAAGAGGGGGAGAGAAACAGTGGTGTGGTTGCCTCTCACCCCCGCCCCAGACCTGGCCTGCAATCCAGGCATGTGCCCTGACTTGGAACTGAACTGGTGACCATTTGGTTTGCAGGCTGGTGCTCAGTCCACTGAGCCACACCAGCCAGGGCTCCTTCTAGTCTTTCTGTCTGCATATTTTAGAAAAAACTGCAATCCATGCTGACCATAGTTTCAATATTCCTTTTTTTCTTAAAGGTATCATTTAACATTTACTTTTAAATTATTCAGTCATAATTTTTAATGATTGCTTAACCCCATAAGATGTGCCATTATTTATTTTTTGTTGTTAGACATTTGCATTATCTCCAGGCTTCCTATATGTGTGACTAGCCCTTCAGCACATTGGAGGCAGCAACAGCCTTATAATTCCTTGTAGTCTCCACAGCCCACGAAATGGAAGAATCTGTGACTTCAGAGGGATTTGGAGAGTATATAAGGCAAAACTCCCACCCAACCTGGTGTGAATACCCTAGTAATGTAACCAGCTTGGGGGGTGATGCAAACGGGGCTGGAGATTAGAGTTAAGGGTGTACACACTGGCAGACTGTCTGGAGGGTGAGAACTTTTAACTCAACCTCTCCCAGCCATGACCTAGTAGCCCATCCTCTAGCACCCTCTTCAGTGTCTATTCTTCCCCAGTGCCAGGCTTTGCATCACCTCTGAGCTTCTTACATTTATGTTCCCTTCACCTGGAGCCACCCCAACCCCTTCCCCAGCTTCCTGGTCTCCCTGTGCCCACTCCCTCATGGATCTCAGAGTGCCTTCTTGTGGCTTGAGTCTCACCTACCAGATGGGAAAATATCTGACTCTGAAGTATCCACAGACCCTGCTGAGAGAATACAGCCTCACCTCTCAACCCCTGCAGCCCCCTGGCCTCAAGCAGAGAGCCTGATGAATGATGGGCATTTGCAGTGGTAGATGTTCAATAAACCTTTGCTGAAATGATGCTGGGCCGTCCCTGGGCCTCTGGGTTATCTGGGGCATTTCCCTTTGATATACTGTACATACATTATCCTTTGGTGTTTCATTCTTAGGGTATAGAAAAGAGTCAGGCGGTCTCACTCCAGAGAAATGCTGCCCTGGGACCCACCCAGCACCCTGAGGGTATACCTGACTACTTTCTAACCCCAGCTTTCCCACCATCAGGAAAGCAATAAGAAGGCAGGTAGAGAGGCTGACCTTGAAGCCCAAAGGCTGGGGTATAGCTGAGGTGTATTTCCTCGGCATTTATAGATTTAAGCTTCACTTGGGTGCAGGAGGTCTCAGGGAGGGTAGGGGGCAGGATGCTGACATTTATAAAGTACCTACTTCTTCCTGCCCTGGGTGGTTAATATGTAGTCTCACATAATCCTCCCACTGTTCCTGTTATTTCTAGTTATAGAATAGAAAACTGAGGCCCAGAAGTAGTAGGGAAACTTGCCTAGCTACCAGTGTTTGACAAGGATGATGGGAGAGATGTGAAGTAGCCCTGTGACAGAATTCTGATTTTGTGACCTTGGGCAACCTACCAGTTGAGTATCAGTTCATCTGTAAAATGGGGATACAAGTACACAACTTCAAGGGGGTGTTACATAGGTTAACTCAGAGCTCATGGTAAGCTCTTATTGGTTGTGATTATTACCCTTGATCCTACTGCTAGTTTGAAGGTTAAGGTCAGAGTGGTGCAGGTCAAGATCAGAGACTGGGTCATTTCAACCCAAAGCGCCTGAACTCTCTCCTTCTTTTTCCTCCTTCACTATGGGCCACACTACATCCCAGGTTCAAATTCAAAGTAAACAGCATTTCCAAAACAAACTGCCAGAAGACCTGGATTTGAATTTGGATGACCATGGCAACCTATGTGACCACAGGCAGGTAGTTTAATCTCCCTAAGGCTTTGTTTTCTCATGATAAAACTAGAGAAGTCTTTCAGGTTTTCTGGAGTGTTGAGTGAGATAGCTAGCTGTGAAGTTCTATGAAGGCCTCAAAGGCCTAGGACAACTAGAGGAATGATTATAAAGTCAGAAAAGGAATAGAACCAAGTCTTCCCAAGAGGCAGTGTCTCTCCCCTCCCTCCACATAATGTTATTTCTTCTGTTCCCATGTGACTGAAAACTAGGGGAGGACCCTGAAGACAGAGATGGTATCTTTTCTTCATCTTTGAATTCTCAGTGGCCAGGTCAGGTCCTCCTGGTAGAGGGGGTTTAGTAGTAAATATTGAATGAATGAGGGGCTTGGGTTACCGTGGGAAAATCCCTAAGAGAAGTATTTTATAGTAACATGTCAATGACTGCTTTTTCTTCTTCCCATTGAGGGGGAGAACAGACAATACCAAGTACTTGAAAGGTAAGCGGAAGATTAAAAAACAACAATCAGAAACCGAAAAGGGGTGTCTGGGCAGGTTAAAGGTTCCTGGCCTGGACTCTGGCTTCCCATCTTATACCTCTCTCTCCAGTAGCCGGAGCCCCTGCCCTACCGCCAGTTCCTATCCAATCACTGAGACAGTGGTCTTTGCAGATGGGGAAACTGAGGTTCAACAGCTGGAATCAACTCATCAGAGGTCATGCAGCCAGGCATTGAGTTCGTTTTAATTTCAAAGGCAGATGGCTTAGAAATTTTCTTTATAAGAAAACTAATCAAACATCTCTTCATATGGAGCCTCAAATGATTTTTTCTCCCCCAGAAAGTATGTTTTAAAAAAAATGTTCTAAGTTCTGGCAACGATTAAATGGCACTTGCTAAACTTTTACTGGTTTTGAGCCCTTCCCAGGGAACCAAAGGTCACTGAGCATGCCACTCTGGCCTGCTGCCCTGCCTGAGTCCCTGGCCCTCGGGAGCCTGGGAGACGGCTCCCCAGGCCAGGCATTGCAGAATTGCCTGGCATGGTGGGAAGCTGGCCCCATGAGAGAGTTTCCGAGAAAGACCTATGGACTGAAAGTAGAAATAGTTGTGCTTGACCAGGGTCCAGTGGAGCAAGTGACAGTCTTCTGGGGACTGGGGCTCTGTGTGGAGTGAGGTGGGAGGGGCCAGGAGGGAGGGCAGTTGGCTCTAACTTCACCACTGAAAGTGGCAGGAAGGCTCCTTTTACAGTCTTTTTGCCTTCCAAAAAGTCCCTCCTAAGGGGAAGGGAGCAGCTACACTGATTCTCTCTTAGACTTTAGGGAGTTAAGGAGGCAGTAGGGGGAGAAGGTAATTCCTAACTCCAAAGGATGCCTTCCTTTGGGAATGCCTTCTCCTCGAGGTGGACATTGCAGATCATAGGCTAGAAGGGGCCCTAGCAGTCATTCAAGCCAGTGGGTCTCACATCTGGCTGCAGACCAGAATTGCCTTTTGAAGAAAACAGACTTCTGTGGCCCATCTGAAAACAACTATACCCAAATCTCCAGGGGCAGACCTTGGAATCTCCTTGTACCCTAGCAACTAGAACCCTAGGACCTGAATCCAACTGCCTGCATCAAACACTTCAGTCTCCACCCTTTACCTTGTTCCAGCCTTTGTCTGAACTTGTAGAGAAGCAACTCACATCACCCACCCCAAATGGCTCACTCCACTGCTACACCTCTGGCTCTACTTACAGTAATATATATATATATTTTTTTAAGATTTTATTTATTTTTAGAGAGGGGAGGGAGGGAGAGAGAGAGAGAGAGAGAGAGAAACATCAATGTGTGGTTGCTGGGGGTTATGGCCTGCAACCCAGGAATGTACCCTGGCTGGGAATCGAACCTGGGACACTTTGGTTCCCAGCCCGCGCTCAATCCACTGAGCTACGTCAGCCAGGGCTCATTTTTTTAAAATATATTTTATTGTTGTGCTATTACAGTTGTCCCATTTGCCCCCCTTTATTCCCCTCTGCCCATCACACCCCCTCCACCCCCATTCCCCCCTTTAGTTTATGTCCATAGGTCATACATATAAGTTCTTTGGCTTCTACATTTCCTATACTATACTTGACCTCCCCCTGTCTATTTTCTTTCTTTCTTTTTTTTGTTAAGATTATTTTTAGAGAGGGAAGGGAGGGAGAAAGAGAGAGAGAGAAACATCAATGTGCAGTTGCTGGGGGCCGTGGCCTGCAACCCAGGCATGTGGCCTGACTGGGAATCGAACCTACGACACTTTGGTTCGCAGCCCGTGCTCAGTCCACCCCCTGTCTGTTTTCTACCTTCCATCTACGCTATTTATTCTTCATACCTTTTCTCCCTCTCTCCTCCTCTTACTCCCCTGTTGCTAACCCTCCATGTGATCTCCATTTGTGTGGTTCTGTTCCTGTTCTAGTTGTTTGCTTATTTTGTTTTTGTTTTAGGTGTGGTTATTAATAATTGTGAATTTGCTGTCATTTTACTATACATGTTTTTTATCTTCTTTTTCTTATCTTCTTTTTCTTAGATAAGTCCCTTTAACATTTCATAAAATAAGGGCTTGGTGATGATAAACTCCTTTAACTTGACCTTATCTGAGAAGCACTTTATCTGTCCTTCCATTCTAAATGAAAGCTTTGCTAGATAGAGCAATCTGGGATGTAGGTCCTTGCCTTTCATGACTTGGAATACTTTTTTCCAACCCCTTCTTGCCTATAAGATTTCTTTTGAGAAATCAGCTGACAGCCTGATGGGAACTCTTTTGTAGGTTACTGTCTCCTTATCTCTTGCTGCTTCTAGGATTCTCTCCTTACCATTTTTACCTATTCTCTCCTTTTTACCTTGGGTAATGTAATTATGATGTGCCTTGGTGTGTTTCTCCTTGGGTCCAACTTCTTTGGGACTCTGAGCTTCTTGAACTTCCTGGAAGTCTATTTCCTTTGCCAGAATGGGGAAGTTCTCCTTTATTATTTGTTCAAATAAGTTTTCAATTTCTTGTTCTTCCTTTTCTCCTTCTGCTACACCTATGATTCAGATGTTGGAATGTTTAAAGATGTCCTGGAGGTTCCTAAGCCTCTCCTCATTTTTTTGAATTCTTGTTTCTTCATTCTGGTCTGTTTGAATGTTTCTTTCTTTCTTCTGGTCCATACCATTGTTTTGAGTCCTGGTTTCCCTCCCTCCACTGTTGGTTCCCTGTACATTTTCTTTTATTTCATTTAGCATAACTTTCATTTTTTCATCTAATTTGTGACCATATTCAACAAGTTCTGTGAGCATCCTGGTTGCCAGTATTTTGAAGTGTGCATCTGATAAGTTGGCTATCTTTTCGTCACTTAGTTGTATTTTTTCTGGAGTTTTGATCTGTTCTTTCATTTGGGCTATTATTTTTTTTTTGTTTCAGGGCACCTGTTATGTAGTAAGGGGAGGAGCCTTAGGTGTTCACCAGGGTGGGGCAGCCCATGTGGCTGCGTTGTGGTGCTGTATGTGGGGCAGGGGTCTAATAGGGAACAGTGCTTGCTCCACTCTCTGCCAGTTTTCAATCACTTCCCCCACTACCCACAAGCAAATTGGGCCCTTCTGGTTCTGATTTCCATGTGGGTGGGTTTGTATACGTTCTAGAACCCTGTGAGTCTCTCTAACAAACTCTCCTGTGACGCTGGGAGTTTCTCCCATTGCTGCCTCAACCCCCACAGGAGTTTTCAATCATAGGTTTGAGGCTTTATTTTCCTGTGCTGGAACCCTGGGTTGCTCAGTCTGTCTTGCTCCCCAGTTGTTCCTCCTGATTCATCCACATGCCAATCCACTGCCCACTCCGCCAGCTGCTGTCTCACCCACCCCGGTCCTCCAGACACCACCTTGCCACAAGTCCTCTCCACCCGGCTGCCCATCTCTGCCCTTCCTACTGATCTGGATGAATGTTTCTTCTTGAACTCCTTGGTTGTTGGATTTCCATACAATTCGATTTTCTGTCAGTTCTAGTTGCTTTTTGTTTTTTAATTTGTTGTTGTCCTTCTTTTGGTTGTGGGAAGAGGCATGGTGTGTCTACCTATGCCTCCATCTTGGCCGGAAGTACCTACTTACAGCAATATTTTACCAGATAATAATTAGTGATAGTTAACATTTGTCAAGTACTTGGCCATTGATGTCTTAGCACAGAGTCTAAGCTTCCAAGTTCCAGAATGAGACAGGCCTAGGTTCAAACATTGTGCACTTTATATTTGTTTTTGTGACTTTGCCCAAAGTGACTGAGGACTCTGAGCCTCAATTTCTTCATCTGTGAAATGGGGACAGTTTCTGTGGAATTCTAAAGCAGTGCTTGGCTTTCTGTCCTGTTGATTGAAAGTTTAAGTTGTGCCACTGGTTAAACCCAGATCTGTCTCCCTATTCCTTTACCTGCCTCCTCCACCCACACGGCCCTCAGCTCAGCAGCTCCACAGGGCAAACCTGTGGTCCCTGTCTTAGGGTGGTCCTTGGCGACCCACCGCAGGCTCCTCACCCAGCCCCTGACCCTGGTTTCTGTCCCCTCACCATGGTTGGCCTCTCTTCTGGACTGTTTGGCCCAAGGGGCGGTGACATACTGTGGGAAGGGAATGCTGCTGTTCAGGACCAGGCCTCCAAGACTCCTCTGAACCTGCGGGGAAACGGAAAACTGATGTGAAAAGGGCCGAGAGCAGCTCCCACCCTGCATCAGACCGCTGCCCTGGGCTGCCAGCTGTGAGCCAGGCTGGGGGCTCGGCAGGACACGTCTCAGAGCTAGTCAGCTCTCACAGCTGGCTAGGGAGATGATTCTTCTGCATTTTACAGGTGATATGCAGACAGGTTAAGTGGCCTGTACAGTGATGCACAGCTGAGACCGACAGGACTGGGATTTAGCCCTAGGTCTCCCCATACTCCTCTATGGGAACTAGAACGAAAACAAAGGAATTCAAACTGAGGTCTAAGTCCAAAAGGCACTTTTCCTCCAGGAATCATCTAGATAAATATTTGCTAATTTCTTATATAGCAATAACTTTTTATATTGAAACAGAAGGCTTTTTTAAAAAACAAATGTACATGTTTAAAATTCTTTCCATCTTTATTTATTGAGATATAATTGGCATGTAACTGTGTACATTTAAGATGTAAAACTTAACTGTACACCTTCATTTTTTGTTTTCATTTTTAGAAGAGCTGATATTTGCTCGTGGTGCTCATGGTACAAGATTCACAAGGTACAAAGGAATGGTGAGAACAGTCCTTAAAAAGGTAAGCATAGACCTACCAGATGGCCCAACAATTCCGCTCCTAGACAGGTGCCCAAAATAATTGAATGCAGGTATTTCAACAAAAGTCTGTACGTGAGTGTTCATAGCAGTGGTAGAGCCATATATACAATGGAATATAAAAACCCATGAAGAGCGTCCATCTGGATGAACCTCAAAAACACGCTGAGTGCAAAGAGCCAGACACAAAAAGTCATATATTGTATGATGCCATTTATATGAAATATGCAGAATTGGCAACTCTTTAGAGACAGCAGATTTGTGGTTGCCAGGGGCTAGGGGAGGGGAGGTAGGGGGTGACTGCTAATGGGGGCAGGTGTATTATTATTGTTATTATTATTATGTGATGAAAATGTTGGGACCACACTAAGGTGATGGTTGAGCAACACTGAAGGTGCTGAGTTGTACACTTTAAAATGGTTAAAGTGACTGATATTATGTGAATTCTAACTCAGTTTTATAAAAAGAATGTTTGAACATTAAGTTTCCCCCTCAACCCTATCCCCTAGCAACTGGTCCAAGTCCCAGGGACATTCTGAGCATCTGTAAGCATGTGTGTGTATAGTTTTTCACGCAAATGGCAGCATCCTGTAGACATTGTTCTGCACCCTATTTCTTTTACCTTGCAGAGACCTTGGAGATTACTCTACATCAGCACTTTAACAGGCTGGCTGTGTTCTTTTTAACATCTCTGTAGTGTTCCAATTTGTGGGCATGCCCTGGTCCATACAGCCCGTCTCGCTCTGATGGACATTTAGATTGTTTCCAGCCTTGCTGCCTCAAACAGGCTGCTGCACCGAGCCTTAGCATGGGGCATTTCACACAAACCTCTGTCTGTGGGGAAATTCCTACAAGTGGATTTGCTGGGTCAAAGGGCACATGCATTTTAATTTTCCAATTGCAAAACTAGTGCGACTTATATACAAATTTCAACCTCTGAAGCTCAAAGGCTAAAATATGCCAGAAGCCCTCCCCTCAACCCCAGTCCTGTGTCTCTGAGACAGGGTCACTTCCTCTTCTTGTCTGCCTCCCTTTTCTGGACACTTCCTCCTGGCCCTGGGCCTGCAGCTCTTACAGCCTTCCCTGCCTGCCTCATGCTGGGTCTCTCCTCCTCCCACTCCCTGCCCCCTCCTCTCCTTGTCCTTCCTTAGAGACTTGACATCTGTCCTCAGGACCTGGGGTGGGGCTGAGACTCAAGTCACGTACAACCTACTATCACCAAACCTACCAACGCTGGGCCCCTGGCAGTGCTTTCAGTCACAGAATGTTCAAACCAAAAGTCTAGGAGCTTCTGTTCCAGCCCTCACACTCCACCTTACACAGGAGGCCACTGAGGCACAGAGAAGGGAAATGTGGCTCCGGGAGTGGGTTCACAGAGCCAGAAGAGAAGACACTGTATGTCCAAGAATCACTTCATTCCTTTAATAAACAGTTTGAGTGACATGGGAAAGCCTACTGTGTTAGGCCCTGGGCCCCAGCAGTGAATGAGGTAGACACCTCACATTATGTTCAGGGAGACCAACAACAACAACAAAAAAACCAAGTAAATGAAGTACTTATAAGTGCCACGTAAGCATAAAGAGTGACTTGGCCCCTGAAGTCTTAACTGGGTGGTGATATCTGAGCTGGGACCTGAAGGACAAAAAGAGCCAGGTGAACCAGCATGTGCAAAGGTCCCGAGGCAGGAAGAAAATTGGTGTACTGGACAGACAAGAAAAAGGCCAATGTGACCGGAGCAAAGGAGGTGGCAAAGGTACACAGGTCTAATCACTCAGAGTTTTGGAGGCTGAGTGGTGTCTTTCTGCAAGGTCATCACGTCAGCTTCTCTCTGCCCTCTCCTCTGTCGCCAGTAGCTCAGCCTGGAGAATACAGCCAGGGGTCCCTGAGCCCTGCGGAATGGATGAATGAACACTGTCGGAGGTGGGTGAGTGAAAGGGAACAGAAAGGCTTGTTACAGAATCCTTGAAGGGAGATGTAGGCTCAAGCCCCAGGTTATCAGCTGTGTAGCTTGAGACCTAGTGTTTATCATAGTGGCAACCAGCACTTAGAGGACTCCATGAGCCTGCAGTGGCCGGTGTGGCAAGCACTCTGCTCTGTTCTTGCAGCTATAGTGGGAAAGCAGCCACGGACAATACAAAAATGTGAGCATGGCTCTGTCCAAATAAAAGTTTATTCACAAAACCAGGCTATGGGCCATCTCATGCCTTAGTACTCAAACAGGTCAGGTACAGTCTATGGACCTTACGTACATTGACAGCCAGACAGGTAATCGTTCTGTATCACATTTGGGTCTTGCCCCCTACCCCGCACTGAGACTTAGGCGGTACGTCTGGATGCTGGCTCCAGAAATGTACAGACATACACAGTTGTGCACACAGCGTTCGAGGTTAAGGACCTTCTGAGACCTTTCTGGGGCCCCTGGAAGGATACTCCCTGAGGCCCCTTCTGCCTCAGATAGTGCCCAGCTGGTGGTGCCAGGGATTGTGGAGTGCCCCGGGAAGACTGAGAGACAGGGGAGGGATCATGGGCGGCGCAGTCTGGGACAGTAGCCTAAAGGCCAGTTGACAGGAAGCCTCCTCTCAGCCGCTCTGCTGGAGTCTGTATGGTGAGCTCTAGGCAGTTGTCTTCCCAGCCAACGTGGCCCACCTGGCCCTGGAGGACTCCCTTTCTGAAGTGAGTGGCAGGAAAGAAGCTGGCTGGTGGAGGAGCCCTACCATAGGCACCCCTCAGTCAATTCTGTGCCTACACTGTAAAATGTAGTAGGATTAGCTTCATTGTTTCCAACTACAGGCATTTATGAGCACCTACTGTATACCAAAGACTACATTGAGCCCCACCGGGGATGAAGCAGCCTTCAGCCAGGCCAGCTGGGAATGCCCCAGGAGGCAGCGGCACTGGAGCCCGAGCCTGAAGGTGGATCGCTGGGGGGCATTCTGGGCAGAGGGAAGGACCTGGGTGTGGGAAAACTCAAGGAAAAGACAAGGGAGGATCAGGTCCCTGGGGGGGGGGCCTGGTGTGAGCTAGACCAGGAGGTGGAGAGAAGGACAAGCACTGGGCCTCACAGAGCTTTGTGGGAAGGGAAGGAGTACGGGAGGGACAGGGAGTTGCGGGGTCTGCTCAGAGGGCAGCAGGACAGGACAGGACAGAGAAGAAAGCTGGATTCAGTAGGTGCTGCAGGAAGTAAGTTCCGGAGGCTCCGTTGCCCCCCTGCGCCCCGCCCCCAACAGCTCTGGGCGGTCCACAGTGCGCCATTAGCATGTGAAAGTCTTGGAGAGAAGGGGCTAGTGTAGCCGAGATTGGTTTAGCTGCTAGGTGGGGGTTGTCTCACTGAGGTTCACAGGACTTCCTGGAAGAACATCCCAGACAGGTAAACTTAAGCAGACATTAAAAGCGTAGCCATCTGATAAGGTTGAAGATATTTTTCAAAGGTTTTGAAGTGAACTAGCCTGAGAGGGATGGATGGAATAAGCACGGTGGGGCAGGTGTAACCGCAGCTGAGGCAGCCTGAGCCTTGGCCATCCCTCGAGGAAGCCATCTTCCCTCACAAGATTTTTAACCCAAAAGGTTGGGATTGCTGACTCTTTTCCAGAAGCTGCTCCAAGATCACGGAGCAGGAATATAGGGAAACTAGGACAAGACTGGAAGCCAAGTATTTCTGACCTCAAACTTCTTACTTTTAACCTCCAGGGCATGCAAGTTGGCAATTAAATTTACCTCTTAAAAATTTGGGATGAAAAGTTAGTAAAAACATTAAGATTTGGCAGGTGTGGCTCATGTCCATTAACTCAAGGGTTGTGGGTTCGATTCCCAGTCAGGGCACATGCCTGGGTGGCGGGTTTGATCCCTGGTCTAGTGTGTGCTGGCACGTAGCACCCAGAGTCTGGGCACATATGGGAGGTAACCAATTGATGTTTCTGTCTCACACTGATATTTCTCTCTTCCTTTCTCTCTAAAAGTAATGAAAAAAAAAAAAGTCCTCAGTCAGGGGGGAAAAAAAACCCAGTAGCCATTAAATCCATAGCTGGTAAGTGAAGTAGTCAGTTCCCCTTCCACCACCTCAGAGAAGATTGCCCACCTGCCACCCTTCCCAAGCCTCCAGCTCTATTGCTGCTTGTGCCCAGATGCTGAAACTGTAAGAAACCGCAGCATCTCAGGCCTGGGGGCTCAGTGGTACAGCTGGTAGAAACCAGCAGGTTGAGAGGAAAAAACAGTTTTGTAGGATGATCAGAGTTCATTTGCCATCAGACAGACTTGGATCTACCACTCACCAGCTTCATGACCTAGGACAATAAAAATATTATCTGAGCCTCAGCTTCCCCAAATTGTAAACTGGGGATAGTACCTGCCTCACAGTGCGTGTGAGGATGTGGTACAGCGCTGTGTGCATAACACGCTCAGATCACAGTCTGTGTGCGTACATGGTACAGACATATGCAGGCCTGTTTTTTTTTCCTTTTTACTAGATTACTAGTTTATTTACATCACTTTGAGTATTAGTCTCATTATCTTCAGGTGGTTGGGGTGGTCCCGAGGTTTCTTTGCCATTCCGCAGGACTCCTTGTGTTCACATTTTGGGTCTGAGATTCCACAGGCCGTTGGAACTGCGGGACTGAGGGTCAGGAGAGCGGTCTGGGGCGGAAGCTGGTCTGAGAGGCTGCAGCACAGCTCAAAGGTGGTCTCTGGGTATCCGGAGCCAGTGAAGGGGGCGGGGTCTCTTGTGGAGACAGGCCGAGCAGAGGAAATGGGGGAGGCTACCTGAGAGTCTCCCCTTTTCAATCCCTGCCAAACACTCGCAGACCACCCCCTCCCCCACCCCTGCTCCCATTTAGAGTCAGCCTCAGCTAGAGAACAAGTCAGGGCTCCGGAGTAGAAACACTGGAGGTTGCATTTGCCCTGCCAAGCTGCGTGAATTTGGGCAAATCACTCAGTGTCTCCAGTAACCAGTTTCGCCATCTGTGCAAAGGGGTATATGATAATGCTAGCCCCAAAGTGAAGTTGAGAGAATGGACTCGAAGAGAGTGTATGAAAGCACTTAGTAAGCTTGAAAAGCCACACAAATGCAGGACATAACTTTTCTCACAGATCTGATACCAATGGCACCTCTTCCATGAAGCCTCCCCGGGCTGCCCAAATGGAATTGATTTCTTCGCCTACTAATCTGCTGCCGCTCATCTGAATCTTACATACACATCTGCTGGCCCCATCCAGAGGCACGATTCTCAGAACAGGACAGGTCTCCTGAATCCTGACCAGTATCTCCTGACAGCCCTCTTGTGGTACATCTGCCACTTTCCCAGCATTCGTCTATAGGAGGCAAGACCACCCTCAGGTTCATCCTGTTTGGTTCCTCTCCCTGACCACAGTACGCTGGCAAACGGTGGGGTCTTTAACCCAAGCGGGCCAACAAGTCTTTCTCTGAGAATTTACACTTGGGCCTGGGATTAACAGGAGTCAAGTCAGCACCCCTCTGAGTAAGTAAACCTGGAACATGCAAAGCTGGCAGCTTTCCTTCCCTACCTGTGAGTGGGGAACCGCAGAAAGCTGTGACCAGAGAAGCAAGGACAAGTGTTCATGAAGGCTTCCTGGGCTCCATCGCTTTGGGAGCTTTTCTCCCAGGAAATTCCTTTTAGGGCCTAAACTGGTACTTGTGGATTCTAATACTTCCTGACTTTTACAGAAAAAGAAAGTTAAGTCTCAGGAAGGTTTACCAGCGTGCCTGAGGTCACAGGGAGTTAGCAGCGGAGACACCGCATCATACATAGCTCCTCATCATATTTTAAGCAGATTAATTCGGGTGAAATCGGCATATACATATTATAAGGCGTGCAATTTGATAAGCTGACACAGCTATACATCTGTGAAACCATCACGTTCAAGATAATGAACACACCCCTCACCCGCCACAGTTTCCTTCTGCCTGTTCTTAATCCTCCCAGCTCCTACCTGACATTCACCCCAGGCAGCCACTGAACTGCTTTTAGTCACTATAGATTAGTTCGCATTTTCTAGAATTTTATGTAAACGGAAGTATACGCTATGTACTTTTTAAAAAAGACTTTATTTATTTATTTTTGGGGAGAGGGGAAGGGAAGGAGAAAGAGGGGAAGAACATCAATGTGTGGTTGCCTCTTACCCACTCCCTACTGGGGACCTGGTCCGCAACCCAGGCATGTGCCCCAACTGGGGAAGCCACAGGGTTCACAGGCCAGCACTCAATCCACTGACCTGCACCAGCCAGAGCGTGTGTGTGTGTGTGTGTGTGTGTGTGTGTGTGTGTGTGTTCTTTCAGCCAGCATAATTATTTCGAGATTCATCCATCTTGTTATACGGGGTCCAGTAGAAGTAAGGCCTGCTTGAGTGTGGTTGGTAGGGTAATAATATGGGTGTAATCATTTAATAGTTTTAATTTGAACATTTCACCTAAAATGTCATATGGTGTACTTGAGTGGGATATTGTTATGCTACAGAATTACATGTTTTTGATTTTGTAATAAAACAAATTGTAATAAAAAGGGGCATTATTTGTGCCAAAACCTGCATATCTTTTTTTTTAGATTCTATTTATTCATTTTCAGACAGAGGGGAAGAGAAGGAGAAAGAGGAGAGAAACCACTGGGGACCTGGCCCACAACCCAGGCATGTGCCCTGACTGGGAATTGAACGGTTACTGTTTGGTTCACAGCCAGCGCTCAATCCACTGAGCTACACCAGTCAGGGAAGAGCCCGTATATCCTAATAGATCATTCCATTTTTGTTGCATAATTGAATAGTAATTAACTACATGGATATACAACAACATTCACCTGTTCATGAACATTTGGGTTGTTCCAGCTTTTGGCTATTACAAATAAAACTAGTATGAACATCCCTGTATGCTTTTATTTCTTTTGGAGAAATACCTAGGAGTGGAATGACCAGATCTTAATGATAGGTGTATGCTATGTTTAACTTCTTCAAAAACTGCCAAAACTTTTCCAAAGTGGCTATATTATTTTACAGCAGTGTACAAAAATTCTAGTTGCTTCATATCCTCACCAAATCCTTGATTTCAGTCTTTTTAGTAGAAATCCTAACAAGTATCTATAGTTTTATACTTTAAAGTTTTACCTTTAGGTCTGTCATATTTTTAGGTGTTTTCTTTTTAAGATTTTACTTATTTATTTTTAGAGAGAGAGGAAGGGAGTGAGAAAGGGAGAGAAATTTCGATGTGTGGTTACTTAATGTGTGCCCCCCATGGGGGACCCGGCCTACAACCCAGGTATGTGTCCTGACTGGGAATTGAATCAGCGACCCTTTGGTTTGCAGGCCAGCACTTAGTCCACTGAGCCACACCAGCCAGGCTAAATCTTTTACTATTAAGTATAATGTTAGCTGTGGGTTTTATGTGTAAATGCCCTTTATCAGGTTAAGGAAATTCCCTTCTCTATTCCTTATTTGTTTTACTTTGTTTTATTATAAGTGAGTTTTGGATTTGGCAAAGGCGTTTTTCCTCTCATCTATTGAGATACCATGTGCTTTCTGTTGTTTTTAGCATATATATATATATATATATATATATATATATATATACCTCTCATTAATTAATTTTGGATGTTAAACCAACCTTGCATTCCTAGTATAAATTCTACTTGTTCATGGTGCAGTTCTGTTTGTATGTTGCTAGATTCTTTTGCTAGTATTTTGTTGAGGATTTTTGTGTCTATATTCATAAGAGATATTGGTCTGTAGTTTTCTTATGATGTATTTGTTTGGTTTGGTGTCAGGGTATTTCTGACCTGATAGGATGAGTTGAGAAATATTCTCTCCTTTTCTGTTTTCTAGTAGAATTTGTAATGAATTGATATTCTTTAAATTGTTCTTTAAACATTTGGTAGAATTCATCAGTGAAGCCATCTCAGCTGGTGGGTAATTTT